GTATGTACATACATATCGCTGCCTAAAGGTGAAAAGGTATTATTCCATTTTTTTTTTCTAAATTAAGTTTTTGGCAGGTAATACGAAACTAAATAGATCTTTCGCCTATCCTGAAAAAATTCCAAAAAATTGACTTAGCACCCTTTTACCCTTAGGGGACGATATATATACTTTATTTCCCTTCTTTAAACCATTACGGAGAATACAAACAAACATTACGTAACTTCTCTATTTGCACAATATTTTTATTTTCGAATAATAATTGAAAACATTTTTATGATAAATTGAAATTTGTAAAGGTTAACAAAACTTGTTTTAATTTTAAAACGTTTTCATATTACATTTGCAGTAATCAAGTTTGCGGTTTTATTTTAAAAGTGCCAGTTTATCACAAAAGAATTTTCATTAAACAATTTTTAAAACGTTTCGCTTTAGTTTTGAAAATGAACATTTTCAGCGTAATTTTATCAATTTTCAGTTATTTTCCTTAAAAAAAAAAATAAACAATCCTACACTTTTCGTTTTGGGTTTGCGAATATTTCGTTTTAAAATCATATATAAAAATACATAATTTGTAGATTTGTGTGAAATAAAATTAAAAAAAAAAATGTTGTTTTACAATTTCTTTTGAATATTTACATACGCTTTAGCTGTAGCACTTTCTCAGTGAAATGTGTGCTTGAACATATACATATACACGCACACACCCGACACACGACACCCCAGTAAGGGCACCCGTCGCCCACAATGTGTTCCCCTACAAGACAGCTGAGTATCATATGAGTACTCATATTATCATTATCCCTAATCACAAAAGTGCTTATCAAAGTCCTCATTTTCGTTCAGGCCATGGGAAAAAATTGAGTACTTTCCCCTCAATGTTGTCATCAGAAAGTCCTCAGTACTAATAGTCAAACTACTCATTTATGCCGTACTACAAAAACAAAAGTGTAAATGTGTGAGAATTTTTGCCTAAAGTGCTCAGCAATGTCTTGTAGGGTCCCTTTCAAGTAAATAGGTGTAGTGTAGTGGTGATGTTGCTCACATATCCCATCAATGGCTATTGGTGTTAGTGGTAAGTAAGTTCCGCTATGCGTGGGCTCCTAGCCGCTGCTGCCACCCTTAACGCCCCCACCGCTGTTCGTTTGTAGATACTGGTGCCAATGTTGCTGCCGCAGTTGTATTTGTAGTTATGTTGCCACATTGATGCGCTTTGTTGCTTTGCCATTAGCCTGCCGGCGATGGCTTTTGTCTTTTTCCTATAAAAGGACATGCGTTTTCACAGCTATCAAGCATAATTTCGGTGAACGTGGTAAGACGAAGTACGCGAACAGCCAAACACAAGCAAAGCAACCAGTAAGCAGAGTGAGAACTTGTGACAATTTGTGATTGCTCGGCACCGCTTGTCATTACCATTCATTTACACTTTCACTCAGCTAGAAATACAATCACATTCGCTCAGTGCTCTTTGTTGGTGGTCAAATTAGCGACGGTTATTTTTAAATATTCCGATATTTTTTCTGCTTAAAAAAGCTACAACTGTTATTCAAAGTTTCGTTAATTTTTTTTTTTGTTTTACTTTTTTAACGCTGTCGGGTAGTTTTGTTATACAATAAAGGATTTTATCAAAATGAAGTCTTTCTACTGTTTGGACTTTATCATTTGTTCGACTGTTGTTGTCGTGGCTTTAGCTGGATTTTCCGAAGCTGGTAAGTGCGCAAAACTAACTTGAGTTTTAAAGGTGGCACAAAAAAGAGTTTAAAAGTTATTTGGTGAAATAAAAACATCTGAACTGCACAATGAACAATAACTAAAAATAAAAGTAAAAGTTAAAATAAAAACTAAGTGTAAAAACTTTACTTTGTAAGTAAGTGAAACAATGCAAAAAACTTTATTGGCAATTTAAAGAAAGGAATTCTAAATATCTGGAAAATAAAGTGCTTCCAAAAATTCAAGTCCACAGAAATTGGAAAAGCAAGAAAAAATGCCTTAAAGTTTTTTCCATAAGTAAAAAAAAGCAAGATTATTATTATATTTACAGGAACGTTTTTAATGAGAACCTACGTAAATCACATGTACCCTTAAGATATATGTTAAATTTAGGGGATGTGTAGCGCAAAAACCAAAAACCCTAATTTACGAACGCGTGGCCCCGGCGCTTAAAAATGTTTTTATTTTAAAATCTGTTATATATCAAATTAGGCAAGAAATAAACCAAAAAAAAACCCATGGTCTTGAAAACTTACTAAGAAGATTTTTCGGCATTTCCCAAAAATATATAAAGTCCATTCTCGAAAATAATCCTTTACTGCAACGCTCATATCTTCAACATTACTTAAACTATAGCATGTTATTGATGCATATTCTGCGTAAATCTGTGTTTTGTTAACTTTAGTCTCTAAACTACCACGCCCAATTCTAGGTTTTTTTTAGTTGCCCTTAACGAAATTTTTCCCAATCAAACAAACTTTACATTTTTGCAGAAACACGTTTTTCGACACCTTGCTAAATAGAAAGAGATAATGATTAAAAAATTAAATAATTAAATCTTGCGGCCGTTTCTTAATGTCAACGTAAACGTTTTCAGTACA